GAAGGGGAGAGGGAGCAGGAAAGGGGAGGGTTGCGGGTGGGAGGGAAGTTATGGGGTGGGGGGGAGCCATTGTAATCCATAAGCTGTACTTTGGAAATTTATATTCATTAAATAAAAGTTTAAAAAAAATTAAAAAAGCAAAATAAAATCTTTGTCAATCAGATCCTGTTGATTGATTAGGCTGTTCGCATATCCTCTGTCCTTGCTTACTTTGTGTCTGGTAGCTCTTTGACTTGCCAAAAGGAAGGTGCTGAGGTTCGCGATTGTAATTTTGTTTGTCTCTCTCTCTCTCCTTTTGGTTCTGTCAGTCTTTGATTCACACATGCACACACATTTAAAAACACTGAATGTCTACCTGATATATTGCTCTCCTTATAAGGCAAATTTGCTTTGCCTCAAAGTCTGTTTTATTAGATAATAAATTAGCCTTTCATTTGTATAATATATATTTTTAAATAATTTTACTTGAATCTACATATACCATGGTTGAATTTTCTTATACGCAGCATATTCTTTTATCTACTCTGCAAATATGTCTTTTGGTTAATGTAATTAGATCATTCAATTTAAAGTAATTATCATTATGATGGCACTTACTTCTGTTATTTTATGATTTTTCTGGTCTCATTCCTCTGTTTCCCTTTTCTTGTTTGCTCTTTTTCCTTCAAGTTAGTTGAACTTTTAAAAAATTCTATCTTGATTTATTTATAGTGTTTTTGAGTCCAGCCCTTTGTAGAGTTTTCATAATGGTTTCTCTGGGCATGACAGCATATATATGTGATTTATAACAGTCTACCAGCTTCAACTTTTTACTATCCTGAGGGAAATGTGGAAACCTTGCTTCAATTTAGGTCCCTTTAACTTTGCTAGTATTAAATATCTTTGTCTTAAATGTCAGGTGGTATTGTAACATTTGTTTCAAATGTCAAATATTATTTATAAATTTCATGAAGAAACAGATCTATTATATCTACCTATATTTTGCTCTCTCTTCGTTCTCCAGATATGTCAAGATTCCAACTTTAAGTTTTTGTTTGTTTGTTTGTTTTTTGCAGAGTCAGTGCTGTAGCATACCAGGATAAGCCTCCACCTGTGGGGTTAGCATCCCATATGGGTGCCAGTTCATGTCCTGGCTGCTTCACTTCCAATCTAACTCCATGCTAATGTGCCTGGGAAATCAGCAGAAGATGGCCAAGGTGCTTGGGACCCTGAACTCATGTGGGAGACCCAGGGAAAGCTCCTGGCTTGGGCTTGGCCCAGTCCCAGCCATTGTAGCCACTTGGGGAGTGAACCAGCAGATGAAAGATCTCTCTCTTCCTCTAACTCTCTTTCTCCTTCTCTCTCTGTATCTTTGCCTTTCAAATAAATAAATCATTTTTAAAGTAAAAAAGATTTCTTTTGCTTGAAAAACTTCCTGTAGCCAAGCTAGCAGAGCAAAACTTCCAGTAATAATTTATTTTTTATCTGAGAATATTTTTATTTTGCCCTCATTCACGAAGGATAGTTTCATGAAATATAAAACTTATAGTTGACAGTTATTTTCTTTCCACCCTGGAAAATACTGTGCCATTTTTTTCCCTAGCCATCTTGGTTTTGGGTGAGAGACCTGCTGTCAAATTTGCTATTGAAGCACAGCCATTTTTTTCTGGATGTTTTAAGGATGTTTTTCTCTAATTTTCAAACTGTTAACTATCTTACATGGATTTCTTTGGGTTTATCCTGTTTGGAATTGACTCAGCTATGTAAATCTGTATGATTGTGAGTTGCACTGACTTTGGAATTCTCAGCTATTATTCATGTAGTTTTTCAGTCTCCTTTTTTTTCTCTCTCTCTTCTTAATGTTAGATCTTTTGTTATTGTCCCACATGTCCCTGTGGCTCTGTTAATTTTGTCTTATTTGTTTCCTGTTATTTACATTGGCTAAATTCTGTTGTTCTAATCTCAAGTTCACTGATATTATCCTCTTATTTCCACTCAATAATTGAGCGCATTCCATGAGACTTTTTATATTTTGTTACTGTATTGTTCAGTTCTAAGATTTCCACTTGGAAATTTTTTTGTAATTCCTACCTATTTGCTGAGATTTTTTTCTTTGTTCATTTGTCTCAAGAGAATCTATAATTGGCTATTGAAGCATTGTTATGACAGCTCCTTTAAAAAGCCTTGTCAGATAATTCTAACATCTGATTCATCTCAATGTTGGCATCATTTGATTGGCTTTTCTCAAATTGTGGTTTTCTTGTTTCTTAGTATGATGGGTGATTAAAAAAAAAAAACTATATCCTGGGCATTTGTCTATTATGTTACAAGACTCTAGATCCTATTTAAAATCTTTTATTTTAGTTGGCAACTGCCCTGTTTAAATGTAGCATTTGAGACTTGCCCTATTTTTGTGGGGTTTTGCTTCAACAGGAGTTCAGTTTTCAGAGCCTTTTTGGCATTGGTTTTGTCTTCTTTGTTAATCTGGTGCCACTTTGGCTCCTGCTGGTCTCTGGTGGTGCTGCCTGAAGGAGCAGAAGGGGTTCCCTCTAGTCAGCTAGCGGGAGTCTAGGGCGCCTCTACTGCTATCTCTCAGTGTCCCTTTGTCATTGGCCCACAGAGACAGGAGTCCTCTGGAGTGGGCCACTTGCTCTAGCTGAGCCCTTCCTGCCCATTCTGGTGTCTCTGAGGGGAGGAAAGTGTGAGGCCTGCTGGCACTAAGAGAGCCTTCCCAGACTGAGTCACTTGTGGCTACCCTTCTGTCTACCCACTAACCCAAGTAAACCTGTTTTTCTAGTATACTCCACATTTCATAGCTAAATGTCTGTTTCACTTGGGCACACCTATGTACCTGGTGAGTTTTTACAGCTATTCTTGTCAAGGTGAGCTGTCAGTATAGCCGGGGTCAGGAGTTCACTCTCTTTTTTGTGGGTGTTGTTTCCAATTTATTCATGGGTGGAGCTCCTAGGGGTGAGGGTTTGACAGAATACTGAGAAGCCACACCTAGCACTACCTCATTTGGCCTCACTGGTGCTGCATGAGGGTGGGGGCTCAGTTGTCCCGTGGGCCCATCTGACACCGTGGGGAGGACCACAGTGGGTCCAGGTTCACTCTTTCTCATTTGCTCCCCTCTCATCAAGCCTCACTCACACCAGGGAGAGGGGAAAGTGGGAAGTTGCAAGTCCTCAAGTCTCACTTCCTTTTTCATTTTCACTGATGCTGGGTGTTTGTGGAAGCTCAGCTCCTTGCAGAGTCCTGCTGACGTGAGGACTCTGGTAAACCCTGCAGGTGACTAGACTGGTCTTGCTTTGCCTTGGTAAGCCTCAGTGTTGGCAGGTAGGAGTATCCATGGACAGAACCCTGGCCAGAGAATCAGTGTACTGCTTACTTCTCCTGGAGGAAGGAGGGAAGATCAGCTTCCCAATCAGATACTACCCTAGCACATGGATTGGGGGAAAATCTGCTTTTTGCCTGGGGTTCATAACTTTCTTGGATCTATGAGTTTATGGTTTTAATCCAATTTGGAAAATTTCTGACCACTATTGCCTCCATTATATGTTTATTGGGTTGCTTAAATCTTCCCACAGTTCACTAATGTATTCTTAAATGTGTTTTTTGTTTGAATTCTCTTTCTTCTCCATGTTACATTTTGTATAGTTTCTATGGCTGCCTTCCAGTTCACTCATCTTTGGTTCTGTAATTTTGGATCCACTGTTTAGCCAATGTATTTTTCATTTTTCACATTGTATTTTTTCATCTCATACCTTGTATTTTTCAAAAATTCTAGAAGTTTATTTTATGACTAATCCATTCCTTCCCTTCCATGTCTCCCCCTTTTGGACATATCAAATATGGTTACAGTAACTATTCTCATGTTTTAATTTTTTAGTTTGCTTTTTCTTCTCATGGGTCATTATGGATTTTCCTGCTTTTTGAATGCCTGGTAATATCTAGTCGAGTCCTATACACTCTCAATTTTTCTTTGTAGTAGTGAATAATTATGTTTTTTAATAATTATTCTTGGGGTTTGTTCTGGGATACAGTTAAATGATTTGGAAAAAGTTTGATCCTTTAGACTGTGTGTTTAGGATTTGCTAGGTGGAACTGGAGCAATGGTTTGTTTTCCCTACAACTAAGGCAAGACACTCTTGTACAGTCTACCCAATGCCCAAAGGGTTGTGAAATTTTGCAGTCTAGCTAACGGGAGTAATCACTACTCCCAGTCCTGTGTGAGCACAGAGCACTGTTCCACCCAATCTTTCTGGATGGTTCCTTCCCCAGAAGCAGGCAAATCAATACAAGCACAGATTGATACTCTGGTTTGTCCTGGTACCCACTTCACTTAAAGTGACTCCTCAGGACATAAAATAGGACACACAAAAAAACACATTCTCTAGAAGGGCATTCTTAAAATACACATCCTCAGGCCAAGATTGGAAAATAGAATTTTATTTACATTCTCTCATTAGCCCATAGGAAAGAGTTGCTTTACCAGGAGTTCTCATGGTTATGTAATGCAAGAAGTCAGGAGACAATTACCTAACATCTGAAATTTCTGAGAGCTTCCCACAAATGTCTATACCCGACAACAGTTAACAAACTTCACACAGGAATCTCTTGGGATCCTTGCTAAAAACACAGATTTGACAAAATGTTGATAATTACTGAATTTGAGCGATGGTGCATGGGGATCCATATACTCTTGAACTTTTGTGTATGTCTGGGGCTTCCCATAATCAAAATTTTAGAAAAAAACTGAGATATATTAATTGAGATTCCTGGGCCTCTATGCCCACAGCCTGATTGAGTAACTCAGAAGTGGAACCTAGGAGTTTGGGTGCATAAGCACCTAGCTCAGGATGTCCTTGGACCGTACCTTGAGAAACACTGGTACGCTCATGCTGAGTGATTCATTTCTTCAACTTAGTTCCCTTTGCACTTGGCTGTTTTCCCAACTAAGGTGATGCCCACAGGTGTCTGCCTTGTAGTGAACACACACTCTCAGCCCATCAAGCTCTTACCTGAACAGCTTCCGGAGGAAGGGGATCCTTACAACCAAAATTATAGGAATGAAACTCTCCTCCAGTCAAAGAAGCAAGCTCTTTCAAAAATGTATTTGCTGTCTCATCATGGTAATTGAAGGAAATGGCATAAATAGGAATTTTCTGAAAAACTCTGACTTGATCCATGACCATTTCAGGTGGCTGAAATAGGTTTTTGAACAAGAAAAGGGGAGATGGAAAGAGAGAGAAAGGAAAGAAAAACAAGACATGAAGATCCTTAATTTTTTGCTACAGATCACAAAATTCTCATATAGTAGTTCATTACTCAGTGGTGACTGGCTTCTTATAAATGTGTCAATTCAATTCATCAAACAAAGCAAACTTTGGCAAGCAGGGAGAGTACAAAGACCAGTAAGACATGGCCATTGCTCTCTGAGAGTTCAGGCTTTGGTGGGAAAAGGAAGTTAGGAGAGATTTGACTAACCAAAGCATTCCACTGCAGGTACACCTAGGCCTAGGGTCCAGGCTTCTCAAGTGGTGTGATTGCTTTAGACCTCTTACAGTGCTGGGGTCAGAAGCCATGGTAGAACATCTGGCACTGGGGATTCTGGAGAGTAGTCTCTGGGTTCTCAATATGGCTTTCAATGCATCCCCCACACAAAGAGGAATTTCTACCTCTGACATGCTGTAGACAGCTTGCTTCCCACAGAGAAGACAAGAGACTTTTATTCAGCATCCTCCTATGTGCTGGGCATTCCTGTTCGGGTCCAAATCTCTTGCTTAATCCTGACAACTGTCTTGTGAGACAGTGATGGAAAGATTGCTAATTACCTATCTAGCAACCATTGCTCTCCTCCTTTTTTTATTATCAAAGCCCTGGTTTTCTTCTCACAGCAGCAATGTGCCAGTTAAAAACACAAATAAACAACAACGACAGATGCATGTAAAACCCACCATTTGAGATACTCTGGCAGCTAGAGGTGGCCTTGTGATCTAGTCCTGGCTAGTTAAGACATAGGCAGAAAGGCTCAGGGAAGGGATTCCTTTTCACCAAAGACTAGATCTGCAAGTAAAAGACTAATGTCCTTCTCCCTCTCCCTCTCCCTCCCTGGAAGCAGACACACTACCTGGAGGTCCAACAGCCCTCAAGACTATGAGGGTGGAAGTCATATTTAAGCCCCAATTGGTAGAGTTGGAAACATACCAGGGGATTCCAATTCAATCCCATCAAGGTGGCATGTGCCAATGCCATCTCACTATTCCAAGTGATCAATTTCAGTTCACAATTGATCATAATGAAAGGACTAAGAGTCAAAGGGAGCACATAAACAAGTCTAGTATCTGCTAACACTAACCGATAGAATAAATAAAGGGGAGAGTGATCCAACATGGGAAGTGAGATACTCAGCAGACTCATAGAATGGCGGATGTCCTAAATAGCACTCTGGCCCCAGAATCAGCCCTAAAGGCACTCGGATCTGGCTGAAAAGCCCATGAGAGTATTTCAGGCATGGAAAGCCAAGACACTCTGGCAAAAGATCTCTGTGAGTGAGATCCCAGTGGAAGGAACAGGTCTTCAAAGAGGGAGGTGCCTTTCTCTGAAGGGAGGAGAGAACCTCCACTTTGACTATGACCTTGTCTAAACAAGATAAGAGTCGGAGAACTCAAGGGGCTTCCATAGCCTTGGAAACTCATGACTGGTGCATAGGGAGATTACTGATGCCATAAACAGGAGTGTCAATTTGTAAGGTCAACAGTGGGAGTCACTGTGCACTTACTCCTCATGTAGGATCTCTGTCCTTAATGTGCTGTACACTGAGGCTTAATGCTATAACGAGTACTCAAACAGTATATTTCACTTTGTGTTTCTATGGGGGTGCAAACGATTGAAATCTTTGCTTAATGTACACTAAACTGATCTTCTGTAAAAAAAAAAAAAAAAAAGAAATTATCAATTCCCAACTTGACTCTCACTGGGATTAAACATGACAATAGGTCTGATCTGATTTCATCATCATTTAAAAAAAATCATCTATTATTTTTCACTTTATGTTTCTGTGTGGGAACAAACTGTTGAAATCCTTACTTAAGGTATACTAAGCTGATCTTCTGTATACTAAGATAATCGAAAATGAATCTTGATGTGAATGGAAGGGGAGAGGGAGTGGGAAAGGGGAGGGTGGTGGGTGGGAGGGACGGTATGGGGGGGAAAGCCATTGTAACCCATGAGTCGTACTTTGGAAATTTATATTCATTTAATAAAAGATAAAAAAAAAATAAAGATGGTGGAGCACAAAGTAAAAGGAAACTCATGTTCTTGGAGACATCCTTGAGTACCTGGATAACCTAGACTAATATAACCTAGACTAATTACCACTGTATGACCTAGACTAATTACCACTGTACTTCCTATCCACATAAACATAAAGCCTTCATTTGTTTCAGCCATCTGATATCTGCTCTTCTGCTTTTCCCCTGGAATATGCAACTCTCATCAACTTACAGGATGCACAAGAGATAGAAGCTCAGAAAGAACATATATTTCCAGGGTCACTGGAAAACTGGGATGCAATCCTGATTCTGGCACTAGAATTGATGCCAGATGCGTGAAGACCGTCTCTTGGTAGGGATCAGCCCTCTGGGAAAATGAACTCCCCTGCCACCTCTTCTCTACACCCTACCACAGCCCAGCTGGGAAGAAACTGCTTCTGATTCTTCTGCCCCACCTAGCTCTGTGGGTTTCAGGGCTGGGAGATCCTCTTCATGGACCCAACTTGCTGGCTCCTTTAGCCAGTTCCTACCCTTTGACCTTTAACCTTTCCTCATATATTTTTCCAAGGCAGAGTGATCAAAGAGAAAGGGGACTCTGGGCTCATCACAAGCGAGCATTGTGCATCTCTCTCTCTCACACACACACACACACTCTCTCTCTCTCTCTCTGCCTAGAGAAGTCAACAGTTAAATGGTCCTCAAGGGTCTGGTCTCAACCCAGCCATCACTTAACACACAGCCTTGTTCTCTGTGGCTGCAGTCCCAAGCCTATTCCTGCCCACGAGTTCATCATTACCACTACTTCCTCTGTCTCTCCTCTCTCTTCTCACTGTCAACTAGTTTCCTACTAAACACCAACCCAAACAGCTGGTCAGCTGAAGAGCTGACCCCTCTGTCTTGTCAACTGCAAGGAGACAGCAAAACCCTTTACTGCTGCCTCTCTTCCTTCAACTCAGCTTCCATCTGTGGGCTCCTTGTACTTACCAGGCACTAAGATCTCTGCTTGTGTCTCTCGTTGGCTCCCTGCTACAATGCTTTGAGGTTGATACTACCATTAGTCCCCTTTTGTACCAGGGACTCCTGTCCACTGCCCATCTCCTTCATATACAAGACTACATTTTGTTGGTTTGTTAGACACAGTGCCAGCCACAAACTACTCCTATACTGACTTACAGATGAGCTATTTGGGAAAGGAAAGAAACACTGATTTAGTACCGACTGTGTGGGTACCACACATCTAGGGATGAGAGTCTATCTATAGAGCAATTTCCATCACTCTACACAGTTAAATTTCCATCACTTGCACCCAGCCCAGGTAGCCCCTTGTGCTAAGCCTGCATGATATTCCAGTGCCCCCAGGTGGCATGGGAGAGCTGGACAGAGGGTGGGTGCCCCTCGACTGCAGAGGGAGCTCCATCCCTGTGATGGGAAAGAGCCATTCCTTCGCTCCCACACTCCAGGGAGTCCTTCCAAAGGCTTACATCCATCCCCCAGCTTTGAAAGGCAGCAGCCACGGCAGCACCAAGTACAAGTAAACACCTCATCCCCCAGCCTGACCAACCCTGGCCATTCCCTTCCACTTACTCCAGCAGCTGGTGTAGGCTGTGGAGGGGAGAGCCCACTGCCTGTCTAGCTCCTGTGCAACAGCAAGGCAGGCTTTCTCAGCCCTGGCACCCGATGCACACACCTTACGAAGGCTGCCAGCTCCCTCAGGCCCTAAGAGGAGGGCCAGCAGCACAGCTGAATGACTCTCCTTGGTCCCCTCCTCTCTGAGTCGGTACAGGCGGTACACCTTCCAGCACAAACAGCAAGCGGGGGCGACAAGCAAGGCAGGGCCCTGGTTCTCCTGGCTGCCTGAAGCTGATTACCTGTGCCTTTGCCATCTCCTAGCCCTCCCATACCTCCTGCTCAGCTTTATCCTCTGGTTTAATACAGAGGGTGCAGACGTCTATATCGCATCCATTTTCTTGGTTTCTGCAGGGGCGAGCCCCTAACTTTGAAGAAGTCCTCAATGACCACAGCCCAAGCTGGGCTGGTGTCTTCCTGCGAGGCCCTCCCGTGGTAGTCCACAGTTAAGAGACGCCCACTAATGGATAGCTGCCTACTGTGTATCTGAATCCTTTTTATTGAAGACTCTTTCTCAGAACCCCTTTAACTTGATTCATTTTAAGGGTTTATCTCGATTTTAAATGCTACCCTGGACACCTAACAATCCAGCAATGAGTTGGTGTCCACACTTCTTTGTGGGTTCTTCCAAGCACAAAGCACTGTTGAATATGTGAAACGATAACATTGGCCTAAGAAATTCAGTCAGTGAGAATAAAAAACTAATGGGATTGAGAGGTACACCTTAATATCTTCTACATAAAAATGAACATCAAACATCAGAGTCCCTTTGCTCTTTTGAAAAACTCTGAGGAATAACACAAAACAAATAGACTATCTGTGTGGAAAAAAAAGCAAATATGAATGCAAAACTTCTCAAGATTTGATAAATTATGTCACGGGAAATTTGTATATTCTGATTCTACATCCTGGGTTCTCCGGTTTAAGTGAACACAGACCTGTAAGAATCTGGTGAAATCTTCAGATCTTCTCCACAAAAACGTGAGTGCACTTTGTACAAACTATTGGGAAACTCCAAACCCTCGCAAGTCCCTGACAGGCAGTAGATCGGGAGTCCTCAAAATGCTGCCAGAAGGAGTGTTCTTTGGTCTGTCCTCTTTTTTTGGCGGGGGGCACTATTTGGTAGCATCCATCAATACCATTTGGGGGGCAGATGTTTAACCTAGCAGTTAAGACACCCATATCCCACACCGGAGTACCTGGGTTCAAAAAAGCAGCTCTGGCTCCTAACTCCAGCTTCCTGCTAATTTGAGCACCAAAAGGTGGCCCTGATGGCTCAAAGTGATTGGGTTCCTGCCACCCATGTGAGATGTGGCTCAAGTTCCCTGCTGTTGGCTTTGGCCCAGCCCATCACCAGCCTTTGTGGGAATTTGGGGAGTTAACCTGCAGATGAGAGTGCCCTCTCTCTCTCCCTACCCTCATCCCCTCTGCCTTCAAAATAAAAATTTTAGAATATGTACCTTTTGACTGAGTCCACTTCTCGAAATTTATACTACATATGCACAAAATGAAATAAGTATACAATACCTTTTACAATATTCAGTATAATGGAAAGATTGGAAACAGCCTAAATGCCCATCTCCATGAGCCTGGTTAAATAAATGATGGATTAGCCATGTAATGAAACCATAAAAAGAAAAAGGAAGCCCTTTATGAAATGATATGATGCGGCCAGCGCTGCGGCTCACTAGGCTAATCCTCTGCCTGCGGCACCGGCACACCGGGTTCTAGTCCCAGTCGGGGCGCCAGATTCTGTCCCGGTTGCCCCTCTTCCAGGCCATCTCTCTGCTATGGCCCAGGAGTGCAGTGGAGGATGGCCCAAGTGCTTGGGCCCTGCACCTGCATGGGAGACCAGGAGAAGCACCTGGCTCCTGGCTTCGGATCAGCGTGATGCGCTGGCCGCAGCGGCCATTGGAGGGTGAACCAACGGCAAAAAGGAAGACCTTTCTCTCTGTCTCTCTCTCTCACTGTCCACTCTGCCTGTCATAAAAAAAAAAAAAAAAAGTGATACGATGCAGTCTACATTGTCTTATGAATAGAGGTACAGCATCATATGCTAATATTTGTATTTTTAAAAGATCAAATTTATATAAGCATACTTCTACGTACATAACAAAGTATTTCTGGAAGGAGATTTTAAGAAATTAGAAATATCAATTGCCTCCTAGCTGGTACAGGGATGAGAGGAAGGATTTCCTTTATGTGCTTTTTGTATCTTTATAGTTCACACTGTAAATGTATTACTATACTAAATTAATACTTATAGAAGCCTTACTGAACCCATATAGTGGAAAATGATGCAGTCATTGAGAACGATGCTTTTCATTTTCTCTTAGAAAAAATGCGTGACATATTAGATGAAAAAATTCAAAACAAAATTGAATTATAGGGACAAGCACTGTGGTGCAGCGGGTTAATGCCCTGGCCTGAAGTGCTGGCTTCCCATATGGGCACCAGTTCAAGACCCGGCTACTCCACTTCCAATCCAGCTCTCTGCTGTGGCCTGGGAAAGCAGTAGAAGATGGCCCAAGTCCTTGAACCCCTGTACCCTTGTGAGAGACCCAGAAGAAGCTCCTGGCTCCTGGCTTTGGATCGGCGCAGCTCCAGCCATTGTGGCCAACTGGGGAGTGAACCATCATATGGAAGACCTCTCTCTCTCCTCTCTCTCTGTGTATCTCTGACTTTCAAATAAATAAATAAATCTTTATTTAAAATTGAATTATGAGTATTTTTCTTCTTTATGCTTTTTCTAAACTGCCTATAGTATAAGCAATTTTTAAAAAAGATTTATTTTATTTAATTGAAAGAGATACAGAGAGAGGTAGAGACACAGAGAGAGAGATCTTCCATCTACTGGTTAACTCCCCAAGTGGCCACAATGGCCAGAGTTGAGCTGATCTGAAGCCAGGACCCAGGAGCTTCTTCTGGGTCTCGCAAGCACTTGGGCCATCATTGGCCATGGCAGAGAGCTGAATCAGAAGTGGAGCAGGGGCCAGCGCTCTGGTATAGCAGGTAAAGCTGCCGCCTGCAGTGCCGACATTCCATATGGGCGCTGGTTCTAGTCCCAGCTGCTCCACTTCTGATCCAGCGAGCTGTGGCCTGGGAAAGCAGAAGATGGCCCAAGTCCTTGGGCCCCTGCACCCATGTGGGAGACCAGGAAGAAGCTCCTGGCTCCCGGCTTCGGATCAGTGCAGCTCTGGCCATTGCGGCCAATTGGGGAGTGAACCTGCAGATGGAAGACCTCTCTCTCTCTCTCTCTCTCTCTCTCTGCCTTTCCTTCTCTCTGTGTGTAACTATAACTTTCAAGTAAATAAATCTTAAAAAAAGAGGAAGAGGAGAAAAGAAGAGGAAGAAGAAGAAGAAGAGGAAGAAGAAGAGGAGGAGGAGGAGGAGGCGGAGGATGAAGAAGAAGAAGAAGAAGTAGTAGTAGTAGTAGTAGTAGTAGTAGTAGTAGTAGTAGTGGTGGTGGAGGAGCAGCTGGGACACAAACTGGCGCCCACACGGGACACATCTTTAAAACAAACCAACAAAGGTTCATGGAAAAATGTGTATCATAAAAAGACCATGTGTGGATTTCAGTTTCTCGCACCAAAATAAACTTATCTTTTAATTCCTCTTATCCACAAATTTTGAAGTCCTCTCAAATTTCCAAGGGCTTCTGGATACCCATCTACTACAGTTGCATAAACTCAGCTTCCTCCATCAGCAATCCCTAAGCTTGCTCCTTCTTGACCTGAAATTTCTATCAGTTAATAATTAATTACCAGAAACCAGTCACCTGCCTGCCTCTGCACTGCTTCCACGTTCTCCTCACCTGGTACTTCCTGCTCTCCAGCTGGTCACCACATCTTGCTGATGCCACTTTCCCTGTCCCATCCCTGAAGACGGTCCCCTCCTCGCTGTTCCGCTGCTTCTGCCCAAGGCTGGGCCCGCGCCAGCCCTCATCAAGGGCCCAGCAGCAGGTGCTCATAGCTCCAGCCCTCCCTTGGCTCTACTGAGGCCCCTTCCAATGTACAGATGGATGAGACCTGAGAGTTCCCCACAGCAGGGACGACTTCCTTTCTTTTTTTGAAAAAAAAAAAAATGTATTTATGTATTTGAAAGGCAGAGTGACAGAGAGAAAGCAAGAGAGACAGAGAGAGAGAGAGAGAGATCTTCCATCCACTGGTTCACTCCTCAAATGGCTGCAACAAGCAGGGCTGGGCCAGACTGAAGCCAGGAGCCCAGGACTCCACCCAGGACTCCCACATGGGTGGCAGGGGCCCAAGTACTTGGGCCATCTTCTATGGCTTCCCCATGCTGCTAGTAGGAAGCTGGACAGGAAACAGAGCAGCTGGCATGGAAACCAACATTCATATGAGATGTTGGATCAGAGACAGCGCCATGACACTGGACCAAGGCCCTCCCTTTCAACGTGGCATTCAAGAACCTTCACACTCCCCTCCAGCCCAACGTTCCTGCTTCACCCTGACACTCTGCCACCATCGCCCTGCCCTCAGCTTGGGCTCTGAGCACCCTCTGTATTGTTACACCTCCGTCCCTTCTGCCCAGGGTGCTGGCAGTCTCCTCTGTTCAGAGAATTCCTTCTCGACACAGCGCAAGGCCCCCTCCTCAGTGGCACCGTCTGCAGGCTTCTCTCCCTCTTGTATGGTGGAATTCATGGCTCTGTACTCCTAGACAGAGCCCAGGCCGCTCGTTCCCTGTGTTGTATCGGAGTTAACAGTATATGCCCAGCACAGCCCCCAGAGCTAAGCTCTCCCTACGGCAGGATCAAGATATTCCATCGTGGTAGTGTCAAACCTTGGCACTGCACATGGAGCCTGACAGACACAATAACCTGCCTCTGAATGGAAAATACAATGAAGACAATAGGAAAATCACTCCAAATAAAATTATACTTTAAACACTACCTCTCTGCCATGAATTTAACACTATAGTAAAAAAAAAAAAAAAGTTGCTTTACTATTTAATCCCTAACCATTTGACACAGGATAAGTTAGAATATTTATCTAGCAGTCTGCATATGCAAACATCTTAGGAGGAAGGACGCAAGTTGATACTAATTCACTCCAGCGGTTAATTTACACTGTGCCGGCCTGAAAACCCTCGTATTTAGTTCCTGCCTGGAGCATGTCTTTCATTCACAAAGCTCAAAGCTGAACAGACTCCTCTAACACTGTTCAGTGATTTTCCAGCCAGGCTAAACAAAACAAAGAACATTTCACTGGAAAGGCATGCTTTTGTTTAAAAGAGGGCGAAGCTAAATTTAGAGGTGAAACCTAGGACATTGTGCAGTGCCGTGCTTAGGTTCAGAGTCCTCCAAGGAAAACAGTATGGAAGACTCTCCCAACTCTCAGTTTGTAATAAAACATGAGCCAGTCTTCCTTGAAGGCAGATGGCTCTGAGGTTGGCCTCCAGGTGTGCCCCACGTTAACCAATGTTCACCACCACAGAAACTCTCCACAGGGCTCTAGCGGACAAAGGAAATCCTTAGTGTGCTTTCTCACCTCCAGTCTGGGCCCCCAGGTTAAGGAAGAATCAACAGTTTTTCCATGGCAGTTGAAGAAGTCTCCCACACCCATTCACAGGATTCACTTTCACAGCTGGCAAGTCTCTCTGTCCCCGGTTCCGATAAGGACCTGATCGGGTCTCTCTCTGTCCCCGGTTCCGATAAGGACCTGATCGGGTCTCTCTCTGTCCCCGGTTCCGATAAGGACCTGATCGGGTCTCTCTCTGTCCCCGGTTCCGATAAGTACCTGATCGGGTCTCTCTCTGTCCCCGGTTCCGGTAAGTACCTGATCGGGTCTCTCTCTGTCCCCAATTCTGATAAGTACCTGATCGGGTCTCTCTCTGTCCCCGGTTCTGGTAAGTACCTGATCGGGTCTCTCTCTGTCCCCGGTTCCAATAAGGACCTGATCGGGTCTCTCTCCGTCCCCGGTTCTGGTAAGTACCTGATCGGGTCTCCCGTCTGTCAGAAGGTAGATTGCTTGCGTTTCTTTATCAGTAAAGGCGATCTGCAGAGCGTCCAGGGTGTTTGTGGTACTTCCAACCTATGGAAAAGAGAAATACAAGGACATACGTGAATCTCAAAAAAGATCTCACGAACAAGTGGTACTAATTTTCTGCTCTCAAAAAGAAAAGGAAAAGAAGGAAAAGTGGTTGTGAAACGAAAGGTAAATTAAAATTATACTGAGTCATAATTGCAGCCCCGTGATTCTAGGAAATGAAATTTCTGGGTGTGCCATGAAAGTCTCTGCTCTGGCAGTCCAAGAAGAAGCCAGGACTGTGGATTTCCTGTCTTGAAGAGAGAGATCGTAAGCAATTCTGTCTTTGTGTATTTTTATGTGAGATGCTAACTCATTTATTGCTCACTCAGCTGTCAGGAGAGCTCAAACACATAGCCTAAATACACCCTGGTGGGGATTATGCTTGTTTCAAACCAGGATTCACTCATGACACCCAATGCTGGGGAAATACAAGCATGGCATCATTAGCAATCTAACGATGGACACACAGACATATCTCATGTAACCTGACTCACACAGGTCTGGTGACATATATACCTTCAAGCGCATGAACACACTGTGACGCCTTATGTGAACGCATGGTATTGAATAGGGGAACCCAAATGTTGTGCTTTACATATGATGGGAATAAACAAGCAAATACAAAAGTCAAAACTAAAATCCATCAAAAGGAGTTGATTGTGGCTCATTCTCTCTTCCACACATAGCAACAATCATACACCATCCATAGAAAAACAAAATAGATAAAATATACATACTACATATCAAGAGAAATTAGTGATAGATTTACATCGATCTCTCAAACTATATCAAACAATATAAATTGAAAAATCTCTTGAATACTTTTTAAAAAAGATTTATTTATTCATTTGAAAAGGCAGAGTTATAGAGAGGCAGAGGTGGAGAGACAGAGAAAGGTCTTCCATCTGCTGGTTCACTTCCCAAATGGCCATAATGGCCAGAGATGGACTGATCCAAAGCCAGGAGCCAGGAGCTTCTCCCAGGTCTCCCATGCGGGTGCAGGGGCCCAAGGACTTGGGATCTTTTACTGTTCTCCCAGGCCATAGTGAGAGCTGGATCAGAAGTGAAGCAGCCGGGACTCAAATTGGCGCCCATAAGGGATGCCACCACTGTGGGCAGTGGTTTTACCTACTATGTTGCCACAGCGGCAGCTCCTCTTGAATACTTAATCAATATGGAAAGGGATAAATTTTTAGATAAATTCAAATTCATTGGGATATACTGTTTACTATGCAAAAATGATCCATACCACAAGACCATAAGATATGAAGGACCCTGAGTTGTCCAAAAGCTGCCTTAAACTTCCCACCTCATCTCAGTTCTAGTCTATCAGTCCAGCCTCTGTTGTAAGAAAACCAACAGAAAGGAATTTCTGTAAAGGGCAATGGTCTGACTCACAGGATCACAAAGACGGCAGAAGAACCTCATTGCGACCTCACACCAGGAGCGAGGTCCCAGATCCTGCCTGGTGGAGCCTCGTGGCAGCAGCATTGCTGATCAGTGCAGCTACAGCTTGCCCCACTGCTGTCACTGGGAGCATAAGCCATGAGCGGAACCAGCCGCCTGCCGACCCTGCCACTCCAAGAGCTACAGTCTATACCCACTACCACTGCCACAGTTCTCCATTGAGCCTGCCATCTGGAGTCATTAACTCTCCATTAAAACCTAGAGGTTGGAGCAAGTGTTGTGGAGTAGTAAGGTTCAACTGCTGCTTGAGACACCTGCATCCCATATTATAGTACTTGGATTCCAGTCTTGTCTTCTCTTCTGATCCAGTTTCATGCTAATGTGCCTGGGAGGCAGAGGATGATGGCCCAAGTACTTGGGTTCCTTTCACCCATGTAGGAGACTGGATGGAATTCCTAGTTTCTGGCTTCAGATTGCACAGCCCTAGTTGTTACAGTCATTTGGGGAATGAACCAGTGGATGGAATATCTGTGTGTGTGTGCGTGTGTGCGTGTGTGTGTGTGTGTATCTGTCTGTCTCCTCCCACACCTATTACTTTACCTTTTAATTAAATAAATAAGACTAAAAAAAAAAAAAAAAACCTCTAGAGGTTATTGTGACTGGTGGTGCCTGGGTCACGTTACCCCTTTACACAAAGGATGCCAGGACTTCCAGCTCCCAGAGTGAACAGGCTCATTCTCTTATAACAAGGGAGGCTGATGGGCAAAACAATGACAGATATCCAAACACATACCCAGCCTCTCTGCTTTCACCCGGGCCATTAGCAGCACCTAAGTACCACGTGCCTAGCACTGTGCGAGGCCTGGGACACAACTTACAAAACCAGCAAACTCTGTGTCTTGAGGGCGCTTCACAGAATGGTGCTGGAGGCCAAGGAAACCACCCTCCAGTACTGGGCCCAAAGCTGTAACAGCGCATGCCCAGTGTAGGATGCATCTTGCTCTAACTGAGAGGGTAGCTACAGACATCTCACAGCAGGGATTGGGGAGACTATTAAAGGATGAGTAGGGTGGGTGGGCAGACATAGAAGGGACGGTGGGCACTCCAGACTCCTATCTAGTTCAGGATTCGCTAAGCAATTCTACACTTGCAAGCTTCTTATGATGAGAAAGCACAGAAAAATGATGTGGTCATGATAATCATAAAAGCAGCACCTATTGAGTACTAGGCTAAGGACTTATTTTCCCTCATTTCTACCTTATGGCATAAGGAGACTCAGGCCCAGCAACTCCCACCTCTGTGTCCCGAAGGCTGCAGAGCAACAACAGGTGGGCCAGGGATATGCCTTCCACCAAACCGGAACTGAGTGGGAGCCCCAGACGGCTCAGAAAGCTAATCTGGCACTGGAACAAAAGCCTGCAAACGTAAGTCAGAACTTGCTAAACCTAAACACGATGACTGCCTGCCAAATGAGAAGATATATTTGGGAATAGAGAGTCTCCTAACATATTTAAATTGTCCAGGATACAATAAAAAAAAAGTCACTCATTGTATCATGCCCAGAACCAGACATACCATATTTGCATGAGACAAGCAATCAGTTGACACCAATACCCACATACAAGCTCCCATATCTGGCACAGTAAAGAAGATATGATATTGATGCCATGAGAGTTTCAGAAAAGGAGTGATAGACTTAAAAGGATTCAAAAAGCAATGGTTGGCCAGCGCCACAGCTCACTAGGCTAATCCTCTGCCTGCGCCGGCACCCGGGGTTCTAGTCCCGGTTGGGGTGCCAGTTCTGTCCCGGTTGCTCCTCTTCCAGTCCAGCTCTCTGCTGTGGCCAGGGAGTGCAGTGGAGGATGGCCCAAGTGCTTGGGCCCTGCACCCCATGGGAGACCAGGAGGAAGCACCTGGCTCCTGGCTTCGGATTGGCGCAGGGCGCCGGCCATAGTGGCCATTTGGGGGGTGAACCAACAGAAGGAAGACCTTTCTCTCTCTCTCTCTCACTGTCTAACTCTGCCTATCAGAAAAAAAAAAGTAATGGTTAAAATCATCTCAGATTTGGTGAAAGATACAAAACTACAATTCAATTTGCTGGGCAGAGAGCCCAAATAAGATAAAACTGAGGAAGTTCACACAAAGACATGCTATTTAAATTTCTGAAAAGAAAGACAAAGAAAAATCCTAAACACAGCCAATGAAAAACAGTATGTTACCTACAGAAGGACACCAATTCAAATGGTAGCAGTTTCTCATCTGAAAACCACAGCTCTCTGCTGCGGCCCGGGAAGGCAGTGCAGGATGGCCCAACTGCTTGGGCCCTGCACCTGCGTGGGAGACCTGGAGGAAGCTCCTGGCTTCAGATCAGCACAGCTCCGGCCGTTGTGGCCAATTGAAGAGTGAACCAGTGGATGGAAAACCTGTCTGTCTGTCCCTCTCTCCCTCTCTCTCCCTCTGCTCTCTGTAACTCTGCCTTTCAAATAAGAAAAGAATTAACACGAGTTTTACTCAGTCTACTCTAGAAAAGAGAAGAGGAGGGAACACTTCCCAATCAGCTTTATAAGGTCACTAGTACCCTGATACTCAAACCAAAGATAATATGTGCTCACATACACACACACACACAGAAGCAGAGAGACACACACAGAGACTACAGAGCAACACCTCTCATGAATTAGACATAAAATTCTCAAATTTTTAAAATTTTAGCAAATTGAATCCAACAATATATAAAGTTAATAGTATTCCATGACCAAGTGGGATTTATTCCATGCATGCAGAGCTCTTTCAGAATATAAAAATCGATGTAACCCACTATATCAACAAATCAATGGGGAAAATCCCATGGGCGTATCAGTTTACACAGGAAAGGCTTGACAGAATCAGCCCCTTCTACTACGCTGGAATGGAACGGGGCCTTCTCAGTCTCACAGAGAGCACGTGCACAAACCTGCTGCTAACATCAAACCGAATGGTAAAAGACTGCATTTTCTCCCTTACTAATTAGGAAAAAGGCAAATATGTGTACTCTCACCATGCTTCTCTAACACAGTACTGGAAGTTACAGCCACTTCAATAAAGCAAAGTAGGGACTGGCGCTGTGGCGCAGCGGGTTAAAGCCCTGGCCTGAAGTGCCGGCATCCCATATGGGTGCCGGTTCTAGTCCCAGCTGCTCCTCTTCCGATTCAGCTCTCTGCTATGGCCTGGGAAAGCAAAGGACTTGGGCCCCTGCGCCTGCATGGAAGACATGGAAGAAGCTCCTGGCTCCTGGCTTTGGATAGGCATAGCTCTGGCCGTTGCGGTCAACTGAGGAGTGAACCAGCGGATGGAAGACCTCTCCGTCTTTACCTCTCTCTGTAACTCTGTCTTTCAAATAAATAAAATAAAAATCTTTAAAAAAAAAAAAGCAAAGTAATAAAAGTCACAGAGATCAGAAAAAATAAATACAACCATCTCTGCTTGCAGACTGCTTGATTTTCTACATAAAAAACACAAGATACCTACACACACACACACACACACACACAACTCTTGGAATAAGTAAGTTTAATAAGGTTGAAAGATATAAGATCAACATGCAAAAAATCAATTCC